ACAGGAGATAATACACACAAGTGTCTACCGACAGATAATCTCTCTTCAATAACAGGAAACCTGTTCCAGTTTAAAACTCCAAAGAGAGCCTCTGTCTGATTGTTTGCCTGAGCACTGAGCCTCTGATCTCCAATGCTGATTCAACATGAAAACTACTTTGCCAGTGCTTGAAAACTTATACAAATATACAAAAGCAGAGTTGTCCTTATTTGCTACAAAGATTACATTGTGATATCTCAGTTCACAATCTGTGAGTGTTTGTCTTGTTACAAAATTATTGGCATTACACAAACAATGGGGCAAATCAGATTGGAACGTCTTTGAAAAGACCAAACCACACTCAGCATTCAGCTGTATACCATCATTAAAAAAATAACACTCTACTTTTGCTTACAAACTCAATTCCTGCAAGAAAGAAACCGCTCAGGCGTATCTCAGAGAGTACATTTTCACATAATGATAGACAGATTTATTATAGTGTTTTAAAAGGCTTTCTGAAAATGGACTAAGAGCAGCTCAGCAGAAATCCTGCACTCATTTTCAAAAGCTTCCTGCAAGCCGAACAATCTGGCATTTTTGTTTGTCTCTTAAAATAAAGCTGCTGACAGGAAGCACTAATTGATTTTCTATTCCATTCTAACTGCCTGTTATTCACAATAATTACTTTACTGCTATGGATGCCCAACCCCACTAAGGCAGTTTATGTAGGGACAGTGCTCTAGAGATAACCGCAAGGATTATGAATCTACTTGTACTTGAAGCTGCAGTTTCTAAAGTGTTGACCGATCAAAGCTGAAATAGACATTGACGTTTTTCTTAACTTTAAGGAGTCCCACTGTGTGAGAATTTATTTCTGGCTCTGTCCAACAGAATTGTTATTCTGGAGTTTCGCATCATTTTCTGTCACTTTCAAACTTTCATGGAGTGGTTAACCCTTCTGTATCTTTAGTAGTGCAACAGCTTGTATTTATATAGCACTCTTCACTTAAATGTCTCAAAGTGCTTGGCAGAAGTAGTGGAAAAATATCCAAAGCAAATTCCAGTTTCCTCAGCCTTTCAGTTAATTCCTTCCTTGCATAAAGTGCCCCTTGCCTAATTTGATTTTCATTATAATAAAATAATGCTTGTTTCACGTCCTGATGACCTGATAAAGAATATAACACCTTACCATGTCATCAAAACAGCTCAAAGAACTTCATAGGATTTCTGTAGAGTCACTGTGTATTTTAACGCAGCCAATTTGTGGACAGCAATGTCCCACAGTCATGAAGTAAATAACCAATCTTAATCAGGGGAATTGCTTGTTCAGGACCACCAGAGGAACTCCATTCTCTTTTTGAATAGCGCCACAGGATCGTTAAAGTGTACCAATAATATTACTGGTCCTGTAATTGTAATATTGTTAATATTATTGCTAATAGTCACTCAGAGGGTAGTGAATTTATGGAATTCACTACCCCAGAAGGCTGTAGATGCTCAGTCCTTGAACATCTTCAAGGCTGAGACTGATAGATTTTTAAAAAACAGAGGGATTAGGGGATATGGGGATAGGACAGGTAATTAGAGTTAGGTCTGAAGATCAGCCATGATCTTATCGAATGGCGGGGCAGACTCGAGGGGGCGAATGGCCTACTCCTGCTCCTAATTCTTATGTTCTTATGATTATTGACTGCTGGAAGTGGCCGTTGTGGTTTGCTTTTTCCGGGCTTCTATTTTCTTATCCCCTTACAGATTTACACCGCAGGGCTCTTTGGACTGATGCATTTTAATTACAAATTGCAATCAATGCTTAATATCAAGGAGCCAAAGAAAGCACACATATCGAGCAGAATCTGCTTCTGAAAGAGGTGGACACTTATGCTCTGGCACATTATTCAGCCCCTGAGATCCTAAACAAGCACTGCTCACATTTCAGGTTGGGATTAAATATTCCATGTGTATTTCTAGTCTAATCAAGTTCTTTGTTCTAGGCCAGATATTTTCTTTCACTTTAGTCAACATTATAGTACATTACTATCTCTTATAATAATAATAATCCTTGCATTTGATATAGCGCTTTTCACATCTTCTCGACATCTCAAAGCTCTTCACAGAATAGACTATAAAGTGAATTGACTTATACCACTTGATGGCACTGTATCAAATCCTTTACACTGTAGCACTGTACTACGTTCCATCTGCTGTACAGGATTCGATAGTTACTGCTCCTATTCTGCACAATGACACCCAGTGGCTGAATCGCGTACTAGAAAGATGCAACATGGCAATGTACACGTTTGTAACGAGTAGCAACATTCTGATAATGTGACAATTACTGCTGGGAGAAGCATCTTTCTCATTTTTGAATACCAACAACTTGCACTTACATAGCGCCCACCACACAGGGTAGCATCTCAGAGCGCTTAACAGTGGCGGAGCTCGACTCCGCTCCCGGATGGGGCGAGGTGGCCATAAGCACGGTTGAAGAGGAAGGTTTTCAAGCGGGACTTGAAAAAGGGAGAGAGGGGACAAGGCAGAGGGACTCAGGGAGAGTATTCTAGAGTTTCGGGGCATAGTGGCTGAAAGCGCGACCTCCGATGGTGGGGTGGAGGGTTCGAGAGACGAGCAGGAGCCCGGTGCCAGTCGAGCGGAGGTGCCGGGTGGTGAATTGGGGAGTGAGGAGGTCGGAGAGGTAGGGAGGTCCCAGAGAGTGGGGGAGAAAGGACAGTTGGGGCTCGCACCGTCTGCCTAAATTGCACACTGATTCAGTGAATGTAAGGGAGTGCCCAGGGAGGTTGAGGAGTTCTGATCCACAGCGGTGAAGACATTAACGGGCGCCAAGGAGTATGGCTTCTGTCTTGTCCACATTCAGCTGCAGGAAGTTTGCACTCATCCAGGCCCTGATGTTGTCAGATAAGCTGATAGAACATCAGCAGACCTGGAGTTGGTACTGGAGGAGGCAAAGTAGATTTGTGTGTCATCCGCATACATGTGGAAGTTTACCTCGTGTCTGCAGATGACATCACCCAGAGGAAGCATATAGATAAGGAAAAGAAGTGGGCCAAGGATGGAGCCCTAGGGTACTCCGCAGGTGACTGGGCGGGGTCGGGAGGAGAATCCATTTGTCGAGATGAAATGGAGGCGGTTGGTTAAGTAGGACTTGAACCACTTAGGCGGATGAGGGAGAAGAGGCGGTGGAGGACGATGGCGTGGTTGACTGTGTTGAACGCATCAGAGATCCAGGAGGACGAGGAGGCAGAGGTAGCCTTGGTCACAGATAGAGAGGACATTGTTTGGGGCTTTGACAAGTGCTGTCTCTGTGCTGTGGGCAGGGTGAAAACAAAACTGCAGGGGCTCAAGGAGGGAGCGGAGGGAGAAGTGTGACCGAAGTTGACCTGCAACAACGATTACCAGGACTTTGGCAACGAAGGGTAGGTTGAAAATGGGACTGGTGTGAGATTAGAGGAATCAAGGGTGTTTTTTTTGAGGAGGGGTAGGTTGAAAATGGGACGTGGTGTGAGAGATTAGAGGAATCAAGGGTGTTTTTTTTGAGGTGGGGTATGATAACAGCAGTTTTCAGGGGGAGTAGAACAGAGCCTAAGGAAAGAGACTGGTTGACCGTGTCGGCTAGCAGTGGGGGGGGGGGGGGGGGGGGGGAGAGGGAGTTGAGTGACCAGCAGCTGGGTGGGGAAGGGGTTGGATTGTTGTTTGCCTCCAGGATGACGTTGGAATAAAAGTCAGTTTTGGCCTGTGAAAGGGGAAGGCGGTAGGTGCGGAGGTGCTCGAGTCACAGCTATCGGTGAATCCATAAGAAAAGAAAAAGTGAAAATTGAATCAACATGTAACAGACGTAAATTTCTAAACTAGTTAAAAGGCAACAGATACAAGTGAACTAGATAAAAGGTCTTCCCAATAGTGCTGCCTGGGACCACAGCACAGAAGGAGGTCTTTCGGCACATGATGAACGAGCTGTCCAATTGGTCCCACTCGCCCGCTCTTTCCCCAGTTTTGCAAATTTTAAGTAAATATACAATTCCCTTTTGAAAGATATTATTGAATCTGGATGCTTGAGTTTGCTCATTTACATGGTCAGTTGGTCCTCAATCAATATACAAAGGACATTATAATTTAGTTTTGGCAAGTTTGTTTTATTTAACGCTTAAGGTGCTGCTTTCACAATCTGAATGCATTTAGCTGAGTCCTCCGCTCCACCCTCGGCTGCCTTCAGGCACTATGCCCCGAGGCTCTGGAACTGCCTTCCTCACTCGCTCCCTCCCTTCCCAATTTCAGGTCTCTGCTGAAGACCTTTCTTTTCGACCGCGCCTTTGGTCACCTTCCTCCCCCTTGGTCCCGGGATCCGTTACTGTAAAGCGCTCTGAGACGCCGTCTGGTGTGGAGGGCGCTATATAAATCCAAGTTGTTGTTGTTATAAATTGATTTGATTTTATTCTGTGTCAACTGTGCAGCACAAGCGATCTTCTGCAGCACAGCTAATGCCCAAGTTAAACTGCTTATAGAGAGGGAATCACCGTGCCTATATCCCAGGGTTCTGTGGTGTGACAAAATATAGTCACTTCTCTACAGTAAATCCTGTGAAGCGCTTTGAGACATTCTCACAACTTGAAAGGCACCGTATTAAATGTAAGAATCACTAGTTACAAAAAACACTTATTCAAACTATTCCATGGTTAGGCCATCAATAAAGGTCTTTGTTTTAATAATAATAATCCTTGTTTTTGATATATTCTTCAGACTTGCCATCATTGCAGAATTTTTCTAAAAGAATCATGGTCTCTGTCTGAGTGAACCTACGGCCATAAGTGTCAGTTGAAGGACTGTTCATCTATTCAACGCCAAGTCGCTCACAGCAAATCAGTCAGCTTGGTTTCTCCAGGTTATGTGAAACAATTATAATGTATCCCACTGTGATCACATACATTTTAGAGAGGACATATAAATTTCAGTGCAAGTTAATGCATAATCTGAGTAAGCAGGGAGAAAAAAGTACACTCAATCATACAAACAAGCAAAACATCCTTTACTTTCAAGTAAAACAAACAATAAACCTTCTAGTTACAGTGTATACAAATCTGAAATATAAAATTTTGGCAATAAAAGTTTGACGTTAAAAACCTACAGATCCCCACAAGAGGTTTAAACCCATTCCAGCATACCTGATTCACACAAAGAAATATCAATATATCAAATAACTTCCCATTCATCACATTAAAAGGAATTCCTAATCCAGGCTTAAACCTTGAATGCTCCAAAAATAAAATGTTCCCAAATTCATCATCTTTGCTCAGCATATGGCCCATTTGTAGATCGTGAGCACACAAATTGCAAACCTTTTTAGAAACAAAAATGGATTCAAGTTTATAAATCTTGATGGCAACAGCAAATACAAGAAGGAACTGACTCCATCTCAGCACATCAACACGCCCGAATTTTCCAAACAACATCTACCTTTGGTGATATCTGAATGGAATGAGTACAACAAAAGATGCAGGATAAAACTGCCGCTCTTGATATTCAGTTTGACGCTAAAAAAAGTTACAACCAAAATATCCAATTTTTCTTTTAAACGTGGTAAGGCAAGTGGCCAACTTGCTCACAGATCATTACAAACAACAAGTAACAACTGACTACTAGAATGTGTGCAGTGATCTCCAGGTTAACCCATTTTCTGCAGAGTCCCACAGCTGCTCTGCGCCACCACCAACCCACCAATTGGTGAGGGTAGGGTTAGGAAGACAAGTAGGAGCAGGGCAGGAGAAATCTCAGGAAATTAAATTCAGCTTCCTCATCTCAACAAATGCTTCAGAAATAAATCCCCCAAAAATGCTCAGAATACTGTTTGTTCAATACTCATTGGCCATCTTTTCCACACATAAAACTAAATGTAAACCATATTAGTAGGCGGGGAAAACCACTTGTACTATATAACAGCAAATAAGATGAGGCAGGTTATTGAAGGCATAGTTTTTTAATCGATTCACTCTCTTCGATCCCCTGGTATAGCAGTCAGACTTCTATGATTTATACCTACTGCTGGAATAAAGTAGTTCCCCACTCACACTTGCTGTGTTCCCTGTTACACAGACAAACCTTGAAAGGTGAATCAGTGCATAGTATGCAGTCTGCCGCTGAAAGGGCCAAATTCAACTGCACACTGCAGTAAGGCTTGTGTATGTTGGACAAAGCTCATTTTTGGCTTGCCATACATTCTTAGAGATAGTTTAAACAAACAAAAGTGCCCTGACTAAACCACGGGTGCAAGTAGAGGAACTGTTTAATGTGGTGTCATTTTGCGGCATGCTTTGAGATACCTGCAAACGAATCTAACAGAGTACAAGACAGCCAATTGAAAGGACAATTTTGACAGGCATGATCTGCTATATAATAAAGCACATCACTGTCATTTCAACTGTTACAACACAACTGCTTAAATCAGCTGAAGTACAAACATTACAGATCTGTCATTTTTGTACAAGCAAACCTGGTCCAAGTAGATTTTCTTGGCAAACTAGGTAATGCATTTACTAGAACACAACCTCAGAGCCCTGCTAGCCTACATTTCAACAGTCCCCCTCCCTACATCAAACCCATGGCCTTTTAGCCATTCCCATCCATTTTACTGCTGCTTTCACACACATCATCTCCTAGACAGTCTACTAGTAAATGTGCCCTGTTAGAAGCATCGGCGTTTTGTGAAGTGCTCGCTCGGGCATTCGGGCTGATCATATGTTCATCTCCTTCATGCGCTGTGGGTGTTGCCGAGGATGTGGAAGGTAGCCTCCGTCGCAGTTTGATGACCCGATTCACTGTCGCCTTCCTCTCTGGCAGACTGACTGCTGCTGCTTTGCAGGACTCCTCCGCGCTCTCAGTACTTTGGAATTGGGCAGGTTGGGACGCTTGGCTATCTGTAGATCCCAGTGGCCCAGTCGCTGCCACGTTGGAAGCTGGCACAGCTTTCAAGGCACTGTTGTTAACAAAATCTCCTGCGCTTTTTCTCTTAATAGTTATGGGTTTGAGATGTACCGAGGAGTTTGAGGCCACCTTTGTCATGTCAGGTGGAACTACTAGTTTGACCAGTCCAGAGTTCTTCACTCGAATACGGGTGCTAGTTGATGGGCCAGAGAACTGTACAGGCTTCAGGTTCTTTTTGGGAGTTTCTGTTTCCGCTTCTTTGGAATCAACAGTGCGTCTGAAGACACATAAAACTCTGACTCAGTTTAAAGATTAAAACCAAACAGGTATGCAATTGTCGGCTCAAAATCTATTAGCCACTGGTGATTTTATTACAGAACTGGGGAGATTAATCCTTTGAATACCAACAACCTTTTCAGTGGCCAATTACAGTTTGTCATCTTAACTGCTACAAAAAGGCAATTCTTAACGTTAAATGTTAGTACTATTCTTGATCCACAATATTCTCATAGTTAATAAGGGAGAATAACAACGAGGTGACCAATAAATGGCCTCTTCTGTTCCATTTCTCTAGACAATACGGTATCATTACCTCACCCCTCACGCTGCTGAAACCCTGGTTCACTCCTTTGTCACCTCAAGGCTGGACTATGGGAACTCTTTCCTCACCGGCCTTCCCGCCACCTCCCTCCACAAGCTGCAGGTCATCCAGAACTCTGCAGCTCGTGTACTGTCCCGCACCAGGCTTCGGGACCACATCACTCCCACCCTCGCTCGCCTCCACTGGCTCCCCATCCCCCAGAGGATTGATTTCAAGATCCTCATCCTCACCTACAAGGTCATTCACGGCCTCGCTCCCTCCTACCTCTCCAACCTACTATCCCCCTACCTACCTGCCCGTACCCTCCGTTCCTCCGGCTCCGGTCTGCTCCACGTCCCCCGCCCCAATCGCCCTACCATTGGTGGTCGGGCCTTCAGCCTCTCAGCCCCGAGGCTTTGGAACTCTATCCCCCAGTGCCTTCGCCTTGCTTCCTCCCTTTCCTCCTTCAAAGCCGGTCTCAAAACCTTTCTCTTTGACCGAGCCTTCAGCTCCCCTCTCAACACTCTTCCCCCTTCTCGCTCCCTCCCATCCCTCCCCTCACCCTGACCATTTCCCCCTTCCTCGCTCCCTCCCCTCCCCTCACCCTGACCATTTCCCCCCTGCTCGGGTCATGACCCAACTGTGCAGCGCCTTGGGACGTCCTCCTGACGTGAAAGGCGCTTTATAAATGGAATCTTGTTGTTGTTGTATCACCAAACTTTGTATGGAGTGCGCAAGCTGTGTGTGTGTGTGTTATTTTTTAACCAACATATGAACAGGAAACTTGCCTAAGGTTTCGCACCGATCCTCTCGCTTATGAGACGAACGCGCTAACCACTACAATACAGGACTCCATATAATGCTTAGCTTAAAAACATTCTGGTTTGTTAATAAGGACCCAGTAACGTGTTCACAAAGCGATTTTTAACAACTGCAACACAGATAGAAAGGAAACTACTTTTAAGTGAATCATTTAAACTACCTCTTCTGAATTGGCGACACCCTGTCCTGGCTGCCTTGCAGAGCTCGGCCTTCCAGCGTCCAGCACTCTATAAGTTCCTGAGGTACTCTCCAGTAACTAACACCTGTGGGCGAAATAAGGCACTGTATTCACATACTCCAGACACATGAACATGGCCTGTTGTCAACTTGTGACAAAAAGACATAAATTGTATCCCCCGGCTCTTTCTGTCGTGTGTACTCTTGAAACTACTCATCAAGACACGAAGTTCAAAATATGAAAAATAAATGGAATTATTCATTGTTTTAAAAGCAAATGATTATTACACAGAATGCAGGCTGGTTCCAGTGATGGCTATGAACGGTTTCTGTCACAGTATTTAGATCGATCACCTCCCCCAGATATAAATAATTGTAAATACATATCAAAATACATATACAAAAAGTGATATATGATTTTCACCAGGGTGCGTTTTTATTCCCTGTACATCTCTTTTGCTTTGTTTCTACAATTACCTATTATTATAATTCTGATAAAATGCCTCTATGGAGCAGCTCCATTGTATGAAACATTTACGAAAATCTCTTCCCCAATTTTAAATTGCATTATAATTCAATCGTGACACAGATTTAAGCGACAACCTATGAAGTGGCTTGCTTTCAACTTGCACCATCCATTCTAATGTTCTGTGAACAATCGATGATGTATTCCTTCATTACATTTAAAACACGAAAAGTCTTCCCTGAGAAATACCCTATCTCTCAACTCAGGTCTGTCACAACATGCCATCATGTCCTACAGCTCAGTGATTAGAGCACTCGCCTCACAAGCGAGAGACCTGGGTTTGATTCCCGGCAGGGTGAAACCTTGGACAAGTTTCCTTATTCCACACATCTGATAATAATCCCACATGAAAAAATAAATGATAAATTGGTCACTTCAATAAGCGACTGTTTGTGGGACACTCCTGCGCGCAATTGGCTGCTGCGTTTCGCCCACAAAATATACAGTCAATTCACTTTACAGTATATTCTGTGAAGCACTTTAAGACATCTGGAAGACATGAAAAGTGCTGTATCAAATGCAAGGATTATAATAATAATAATCCTTGCATTTGATGTAACGCTTTTCACGTCTTCCAGATGATAATGTTATTATCAGGAGAGAGCCAGGTATTGCTGCAACTCATTTCCCATCTTGCTGAGGTTGAAATAGAAAACACACAGGGCAGTCTAACTAAAAAAAATTCTTCATTGAAGTGAGTGCTACTACATAAATTAATCTGAAAGAGCAATGCAATTGGTGAGGAATGAACAGGTAAAGCAGCTAGCAATTTTTATATCTTTAAACAGAGATTGATGACTATCCAGTTTGGAATGAGATTCTGATTTATGATAAGTATAGAGAAAACGGGATGCATGTATAGCAGGATGGTTCTTGTGCGTAAGAATGTCTTGCTAAATAAAGCAACAGGTTAAGAAACTCTGCACAGATCAGGTTAGACATGTGTTGCAGAAGAAACTGACTGAATGGGCCCAATGGTCTATTCTCATTCCATGCTTTCTAATATCCTGAATTAACCCAAACGTTACACATTTCCCTGAAGGCAACAAAGATGAATTTACTTTGCACTCTTTTTAGTAGAATTTTTCTATGCAGTTTTGGTTGCTATGCAGAATTAATCTGGAAATGAATTAGTCCCGAGGAGATGTACTTCTTCCATGTCCCTTCCCTATTATAGCTGGATACCAAGTCCTGGATGAAAGCTAATTTTCTTCAGTTGAACGTCAACAAGACTGAGGCCCTCCTGATTGGCTCCCATCAGCGCCTCCTCACCTCAGGCGCTGACAGCATCACCATCCAACAACAACAACAACAACAACAACAACAAGATTCCATTTATTGAGCGCCTTTCACGTCGGGAGGACGTCCCAAGGCGCTGTACAGTTGGGTCAGGACCCGAGCAGGGGGGAAATGGTGAGGGGAGGGAAGGGAGGGAGCGAGGAGGGGGTAGAGAGTCGAGAGGAGAGCTGAAGGCACGGATGCACACTCCATCTTACTAAGCCAGTCCAGAACCTCGGCATTTTGTTTGACCCTCAACAATCCTTTCTACCCCACATCCGTGCCATGTACTGCTCTGCCTTCCCCCACCTCCACAGCATCCCCCGGATCCGCCACTATCTCACACCGCAGGCCGCGGAAACCCTCATACACACATTCATAACATCCAGGCTTGTCTATGCAAACACCCCAACTTTTCCCTCCATAGGCTGCAGATCATCCATAACCCTGCAGGCTGTGTCCCCTCACGCACCAGGCTCCGTGACCCTATCACCCCATTCTCACCCGACTCAACTGGCTTCCCATCCCACAAAGGCTACAGTTCAAGATCTTGGTCCTCACCTTCAAAGCTCTCCATGGCCTTGCTCCCCCCTACCTCTGGAAACTCCTGACCCCCTACCAACCTGCCCGCTCCCTTTGCTCAGCGGGCTTCGGCCTTCTTCACGTCCCCACCAGGCCCGCCCCACTATTGGTAGGCAGGCCTTCAGCCACCCTCCCTCACCCTCTAAACTCCAGCCCGCAGTCCTTCCGCCTCGCCCCCTCCCTTGCCTTCTTCATGACCCATCTCAAGAACCTCCTTTTCGACCATGCTTTCGATCACCCTTCGTCCCCACCTGCCCTCCACCCTCCCCAATCCGGACCCCCAGCCCGGGTCCCAAACACTGACTGACCAGCACCTTGGGACGTCCTCACGCTGTGAAAGGTGCTATACAAATGTAATTTTATTCGAGCTGCAGTACGGGGCTGTGATAAGTGCTATGCGGAAAGCTGATTAACATACAATGCAAAAGCTATTAGGCGGAGCTCTTGACAGAGCTCTAGTAAGAACATATGCATTGCTGCTTATGACATTTAAATTGAGCACTTATAAATTGACTCAGAAATTCTCGGGAGACCAAAATATAAAACTTTAAGAGCGTCTTTCCTTTGGGATTGAACATGAAAAAAAAACTCTCAAACCTACTCTCCCTATTTTGCTGCAATAAACACTTTATACGGACGATAGAGCAGATACAGCAAGATTAGTGCTGAGGCAAAAAGGCAGTGATAAATGCTAATTGTTTCTCTATCAATAATCAAAGCCCCACATACTTGTACCCATGAACAGATTTTAAGAAAGATACAATTGATGAGGGAAGTAAACGATCCAATTATTGTTAAGCCTCTATCAGGGGAAACAACTGCAGGAGTCACTTAGTACATTTCTTTTAGTACATTAACTGGAACCATTCAAAACGTGGCCGAACATGGATCTCAGCTTTACAATTCATTTTCAAATGCAAATTTTAAATCTAAGTACCTCGTCCCTCCCAGGAGTCAAAGGCATCCATCATTTTTTTCAGTTCACCAGCTGAGTAATAACTCCAGATGTACTGCACATTGTTTCCAGCTTCCCTGCAAACAAAGAAAAGTAAAACATCAATAAACGGGAGGAAATTCAGCGCGCGTAACAGGCTGGGCAATAGCAGCGTTAAGGATTGGGATGGCTTGTATACCTGTCTATAATAATGCAGCAATAAATCTCTGAATTTTGACATAGCGCTTATCATAGATGTCGTCGAAATGTCACAAAGCACCTCACAAAATTTTACTGTCAAGTTTGGTGACAGCATATTTGTAGACAAATGGGACAGACAAGGTCTATTTGTTTTCCTGTCTTGTTAGGCAGATGGACTTCGACATAAATCAATAGCAATCACCTGTCCTTGCATCTCCATCAGGTTAACAGCATTCAATGACAGAACTTTCACTTTTACGGGTTACAGCAAACAGCTCACGTGACATGAGACAACAAGACATTATGCGATTAAATTCTGTCATCTGTTTTTGTGTAAATGTCAACTTTGTTCACTAAATAATGGCACCTGTATTTGATATCACATCTTATCACCAAGCACTTTCCCTAATGAATAGCTTTAAAGTACTCAAGAACTGTTACGTATGCCAAAATGGCTGATGAATGACCGATTCACCGATTTAGTACATTTGGGTGAGGGCGCAATATTGGCCAGGACACAAGAACGCCCTCTGCTCTTCCTTCAAAATACCTCATGGAATTTTTAACATGCAACCGGACATATGGAGCTTGTTTCACATCCTATCCAAAGGTCCAGTATTCAACAATGCAGAGCTTCCTCAGTATTGAATGCTGGAAATCCCTAGCGCGGTGCTGAGATCCACAATCTTCTGACCCAGAGCTGGGTGAGAATGTTACCTACTAAGCCACACTGACAATTTTTTTCTTTCTGATAAAGTACAATTGGACTGCAATGAGTGATCATTTTCCAGACATATGAACTTTTCCAAACAAATTCTTGCACAATTCCACCACACAAGGCAGAATTCTCTAGGTTATGTTGTGCTTCAACCTCCCCCCACTGACGACTGCAACTGCTGGGAAACTGGAACAATTTTCCCTTTGTGCATCCAGTGTCAATATCAAGAGATCCTAGGTCACAGTGTAAGTCATACACAGGGATACAGCTTTGTGGACTGACTCTAAAAAGGCACCTCAAAATTACTGTTACAATCTAAAATCATCAAACCAGAAGTTTAGATTCAGGAGTACAAGGCTGGACTTTAAAGAGCAAAGCTGGTATCATCAGTATGCACTGGCCCCAGATTTAGTTAGTGTACAGGGTGTTCACAAGACCTGTTACTTTTTTTTTACACAGTGCACTGACCAACAACTGAAACATGTGTTAAGAATGATGAGAAGTGTATTTAGAAGTACTTAATTGTACTCAGTACAAGTGTTTAACTGTATTCAGACATCCAGAGAATCAGTGTGAACGCCATCATTTTCATGGCAGACAATGATCCATCACCATGTTCGGAGCGACATCTTCTGTAACATGGATGGAGTGACGAGGTAAAATGCATCTCTGACAGCTTGTTTCAAGACCTTAGTAGTCTCATATTGCTGTTTGATAACAGGGAGGTAAGAAGACTCTGTGGACACCCTGTACTTTGTAAATACAGAAGAAACATTATAGATGCAACCCTTACATGGTGCTGGAGAATTTACCTCTTGAAGATGCTTCGGCTTTTCATTCTGCCTCCCAGTTGCTTTTCAATAGCTTCGACCCCTTCGCTCTTTGATGCGAATACTCCTAGGATTTTGCTCTCACAGCTCGCACCACAGGTGTTGAGGTAGTGCAAGATCCACACCGTGGGTTTTGTGCAAATCAATCCGTAGGAATCGCATAGATCCGTAAGTGCCTATATTCGTGGAGTAGTTAAAGGAAATATTTGTAAAGAAACACAATCCCATCGCACTGGAATGATCAAAGCTGGACTTTGTCATAAAATACTGAACACTACAGCAAGAATCCTCTGCATATTCCCTGTTGATCAGTCACTTAGTTTCAATTAGCTGCCGAGTTACGCCCACAAAATACACACTTACTCCACTTCACAATATATCTGTGAAGTTATTTGGGATGTCTCGACGAGAAAATGCACTATATCAAAATGCAAGTATTATTATTATACTAAGCAGCGCTGGCAATACTTGTGCGACGGACTCCTGAATAAAACACTCAGGTTAACAGTAAAGTACTTCCTAGTTTCCAACAAAGAGGTGGATGACATTACGTATAACATGACCAACAATGTGGGATTGAAGAATACCAAAAAAAAGGAACAATACCATACCTCTTTCTTTTTCACCAGACTCTGCTTTTGTTGTTTAACAATGACACTTGTTTTGAGATTGATTATCATTCACTGCCCAGCATTGTAACGTTCCATTTCTAATTTGGGGCTAAACCCTCCCCCCCCCACCCACCTCCCCGAGCTTTTTGACATCGCAACAGATAAATTGTCAAACCTTTTTAATTTCAATGTTGGATCTTGAACAATGTGTTTCCATCTCACTGGACAAGTGATCGGTTAAGCTGTAGGGATAAGGAATACCAAAGTAATCTGCTTCTTCCTGCAGGGCCACACGGGTCGTCTCTTCCTTAGGTATGCACAGTTCCCCGTGAAGATAATCCAAGAGATACTTGAAGAGCCTGCCATCCCGTTCAATAAGGCACGCTCCTGCGTTAAGAGATTACATTTTACATTAAATATTTCATATGAATAAGATGGTTTCAACAGCCAAAGTCTTCAATTAACACTAAGAATCTGGCTTGTGAATCAAACCAAAACAGAAGGTTTTTTTTCAATTGTTGGACAATATATCTTTTCAATTGTTGCACAGTAAAGCAAGTACTACCTATTGCAGTACCCAAATGCCTGTCTGGCCATAATACCGTGATTTATATCAGAGGCTCTGACTCCATTGGCTTTGGGAAACCCACATGAAATAATTGTACTGTACATCTACAAAAGTTGTACAAAAAAAATTCTTCCCATCAAAAATGCAACTACAATTAAAGCAGGCACAAAACTGTATATGAAGTTGGAAGATATGTGTAGCTGTCCCAGTCACAGTGGAACTAATCTAATTATTGTGTTCTTGTGGTTTGATCTTAACTCAAATAATTCAGACCTTAAGCACCTATTCCTGGAAGAAGTAACAATACACTCATGCTCTTCATAGTACATTTATGCATTTTACACACAAACTGAATGGTTGTTTTGAAGTCTAAATGCTGCTGTCATCAGAAAACATTGAAAATCAATTACATGTAGTGGTACAATCAGCAGCTATGAAAGACTCATATCCCACCCCATTCATTACCTGATTCATCTAATTTCAAAGGAAAGCGTCCACTAAACATAGCACTGAGCATTGAGTTTTTAAAACGGCAGAGAGAATTCCGTCTGGCTGTATAGAAACACCCTCCCACGTTCAGTCTGAGGGTCTCAGAGATATCTTGATCCTCACACTCGTCCATGGTGTGTGGTTACAGCCAGTTACTTCATCACTGAGATTCTAACTGCAAAAAGCAAAAACATCTTTTAGTAATGTACTCCTCTTAGCAACATAATAATTTGCAGCAAAAAATATACAGTCAAATCACTTTACAGTATATTCTGTGAAGTGCTTTGAGACGTCTCAAAGACATGGTAAGGCACTATATCAAATGCAAGGATTATTATTTATTAAGTATTACTCTACCTTCTACAAAAATCAATTCAACTTGTATGTTAATTTACTTAGCCATAACGGGATATTTCTATTGGTTTCAGCAGGTGAGGAAAGCAGTCATTCCTATCATTGTGACTACTTTGGGTTTTTCTTGGGTTAACAATATTGAATTTGACAATTTAACCTCGGGCCTGAACTGGGACTTAGATGGAATTACCCTTATCTTCTCTTCCCACGGGAGGTGGATCGTATTGTGTGGCGAGAACATATATGAATAAATGTATCAGAATGGTGCCTTTGATCAGATGGAATGGTGGCAACTCATGGGGCAAATAAACCCAAAACATGGGCATCTTTCTACCGGGTGGATTAGAGCGAAAGATCTTCAAAAGTAAGGATTATTACTGAATGCCTTAATGGGTCATTTCACAAGACAATGTGGTACATGTCCCTTCGTGGCTGTTCATGGCGCAATGCTGTGCGCCCAAGTGGCTGCGTTCGCCTAAACAGAATACGCAGTGGCTTACACTTCGCGGTAAATCCTGGGAAGCGCTTTGAGGCACCTTCCCGAGGTGGAAGGCGTTGTATTAAATGCCAGGATTATTATTATATTATTATTATTATTATAACAATCACCACTTGCCCGTGGAGTCCTGCACCTTACAGCCAGCGGCCATGTGCAGCCTGACCCACGGGCTGGGGCGATGGTCAGCGCCGCTCAGCGCCAGTCTCCTGAGTGTTAGTGGTGGAGGGTGTGAGTGGAGACCAGGAACAGTCCCTCCCTCACTCCCTCCCTCCCTCCCTCCCTCACTGACTCTCTCTCTCTCTCTGTCCCTCTCTCTCACCTTCCCTCCCTCCCCCTCTTCCTCACTTTCACTCTAACCCCCCCCCCCCCCCCCCCCCACACTCTCACTGACTCTCCTCTCTCTGTCCCTCTCTCTCACATTCCCTCCTTCTCTCACTCACATTGACTCCCTCCCTCTCACTATCTCTCTCTCTCTCCGTCCCTCTCCCTCTCACATTCCCTCCTTCTCACTCACATTCACACCCTCCCTCCCTCTCACTATCTCTCTCTCTCCGTCCCTCTCTCTCACATTCCCTCCTTCTCTCACTCACATTCACACCCTCCCTCCTTCCTCCCTCTCACTATCTCTCTCCGTCCCTCTCTCTCTCACATTCCCTCCTTCTCTTACTCTCTCACTCTCCCTCCCTCCCTCTCCCTCTCTCTCTCTCACCCGGTCTAACGGTTTCCAGTGGACCCGGAGCTACGGTGAGGCCCCGGTGACGGCGCTGAGAGGGCCGCTGGGGTTGGGGGAGTGACCGACCGGAGGGTCTCCGTCTCTCTCTCTCTCTCTCCCCGACACCGCTCACTTCACTCCCGGAGCCTCAGGCCGACAACAAGCGCCGACCTCCCCCCACAGCGCCACACGGCGGCTGGAGTAATAACGGTGATATTATTGCTGTACAGTAATGACTTATTATTCACCCTTCACCAGGAGTAACAACAGTGATATTATTGCTGTACAGTAATAACTTACTATTCACACTCTTCACCAGGAGTAATAACGGTGATATTATTGCTGTACAGTAATAACTTATTATTCACACTCTTCACCAGGAGTAATAACGGTGATATTATTGCTCTACAGTAATAACTTATTATTCACACTCTTCACCAGGAGTAATAACGGTGATATTATTGCTGTACAGTAATGCTTATTATTCACACCCTTCACCGGGAGTAACAACAGTGATATTATTGCTGTACAGTAATAACTTATTATACACATCCATCATCTGGAGCAATAATAATCATTTATTTATTCAAACGCTGCACCTCGAGTAATGTCTCAGTCTAAGGGTGACCATATTTAGTAAAAACAAATCCGGACACACACACACACATATATATATATATAACAGTGAACTCATCACCGCTCCTGGTGCTGACGGCACTGGAGAAGTTTGTTGGATTGAGTGTATTTGGTTTTGAATTCTATTTATGACTCAGAGCCCTAATCCAGAGTCGGCGCTGGATACGGAAGAGCACTGAGCCTTGGGGTTGGGAGGTAAATGGCGTCTCTTTGCCTTCACAGTGCCGCGCTTGGCAATGGATTTTCAGAGTCGAACCCGCCCTCTTTGGCGGTCCCGATGGTCCGGTTCCTGAGCCGGATGGGTACACAGTATTCCAGGGCATTGCTGATGGAGGCACAGCTCAGACTGGCTCATTGGCAGGACATGGGGGGCAGGGAATTGTCAGCTCCTGTTAACTCTGCAAGCCAAAGCCCTAAATGGATGGTCCCAGCTGGGCAAGGAGTACGAAAGCTTACCAGACAGTGATATCAATGGCAAGCTACGCGGTTTTAGCTGGTTAGACTCCAGCAGCACCCCAACCCACACTCTGGTGCCTTGGTTCTTGCTAACATGCTCCTAATACTCTCCAGAATTAGGTAAGCAGGATGTGTTCCCTCCAGGGAGAGAGTGCACATTCCATTCCAATACACAGGAATTTCCAAGTTTAGTACTCAGTGGAGCACTCAGTCTCGCTTGGGTGCTCTTAATGAAGGGCGATGTGTTTCTGCATGTTGGCAGGCACCTGGGATGATGATCCGGAATAATAAAATTCTATACAATGTAGAATGATGTCGTGCTGATTGGACATGGTAGTCAGTGACATGCTATTTCACATAAAACATTGACCTTCACATTGAGCGAAAATACAACAACAAAATTATATTTGTACAGCGCCTTTCACATCGGGCGGCCATTCCAACTGAGGAAGAATAAAAAGAAAAAAAGAACAAGAAAAAAAGAGTAAAACTAAAATGGAAAGGACAGAGCACGAGACCTCCCATTTCTTTAGCCACTGGCTTTAGCGTTATCAATAATATATCTTCTATAATGTTAGTGGCTTTCACATCTATAATGATATCAAACCAGGAATTTCATTGCTAAAGCAATGAGAATCAATATAATTCCCTGCTGTTACAGATTTTTCACTTTACCCAATCAATAATCAATACAGTAAAGAATGGGGAATTTAATAAAGAAAAGACAAACACAAGGTTTAGAATGAATAAAACATTTCTTTAATTATTCTATTGTACTAAGTGAATCAGACAGTGAACACATTGAAAGACAGTTTACAGGCAAACATCAGGTCAGTTTGCCGTGCTTGTAGGAGGTGCAATGATAACTTAATGAGCCATTGATTCAATTGCAAAAATATCCACCATTATTATAAACATAGAGTAGATTTAACCTTTTCAGAAATTATTGTATGTCGAAGAAAACATATCTGCAAAACCAAGAAGCTACTCATTTCACCATTAAATTTAAATTGAAAATAGGAATATTTTCTGATTTGCTTTCCTTCCCATTTTTTAAGTGGAAGGAAGATAAGGTAGATGATATCAGCTGCCCTTAGAAACAAATTAGTAAAATTTTTGTGACTTCTCAGTGATGGTAACTACCGAGTTCTACTGTATAGCTTGCTTGTGGACAGCTCTTTCTTCGGTGCTGCGTTAGAGGTAGGATGCAATGCCAAACTAACAATACGGGCACATTGTGCTCTTTGGATCTCATTGTTCATTTAGACGACTTCTGAAATTGATGTGTCTGCTTCACTGTGTTCATACATATAATCAAAGTTATTAGCAGTGGTGATTCCACGGGTCACTGTGCTATTGTTTAGAACATGTGCTATGAATTCTGAAAATATATCTGTTGGTTTGAAAGCTCACATAATTTGCTGATAATCTAATTCTTAATTTACTTGTGGTTGACTCTTTTAAGAAAAAGGTTTATGTGCGTAAGTGGCATAATTGCGTGGAACTCTCAGTTCTGATTAGGATATTCTTATGTTTGCCAATGAGTTTCCGCATGTCAGATGGCTGGCTGACCACAAAAGAGTTTACACGATGCATAATACAAATGTGTTTATACATGGCACACGGTAAACCCCAGTATTAAATTCTGCTGAAAGCAAATGGACATTGAGTGGGGAAATGTGTGGTTCTATATATTGTCACTTTAGCTTTGCGCTTCTCTGAATGGTAAAGACTTCAATGTAATCATTGCACCTCCAGTTATTGCACACCTTTTCATTAGAGCACTAAACAAACACTACATTAGGTACACCAGCATGCTACTATCATGCCTAATCAGACTGCTCGGACTTCAGATCAGACATAAAGCCAGAATACAAAAAGCAATCCTATAAAAACAAGAAAGGTTGGATACAGACAAGTGATGCTGGATAATTGGAGTTGAGGTACAGATCAACCATGATCTAATAGAATGGCGGAACAGGCTTGAGGGGCTGAGTGGCCTGCTCCTCTTCCTGCAATCTATTATAGCTTTGAGCGAACCCTTCAGACTGGATTCTGAATGTAAGGTGAAGTGGACATTCAGAAACTTAAAGTGGCCAATGTGTAATGTAGCAAAGGATCCTGCAACGCACAGTCTCCTAGTTGCAGTTATGGAGGCCTGCCATAAACAGAGCAAATCCGACTTCTATTAAAACATTATTTGTACCTCATCAGCCAGCTCTAATTAGGATTTCTGAAGAAACTTTGGTCCATTTGCTTACAAATCATGAGCTTTAGATTACAGAAAGGCACAATTTGTGGTGTGACGGGCACAAAAGATACATCAATCTACATTTATATTAGCAATGGCCCAACCACAAAAAAGATTCACTTTTCACACAAATGTTTTAAAGATATGGAGAGAGTTTAACAAATGATAGGAGATTTGCGACTAATCATTCAAAAAAGGGGTTGGGATACTTTATCTGATTAAAACTGTGCTTAATAAACTGATACAAAATAATCACTGGTATCCAAAATTCTTCAATGAATCTGGACACCAGCATATTGTGTAAACTGTTCAGGCATAAAGAGTCTAGCATCTGAATTTGTTGGTCCTTTCTGTGTTTGTTATATTGATGCAGTACAATAAAATAAAATAATTATTTTATAGTTTCCAAATCAGAATAAATTGTGGGAGGGGAAAGGAGAGTTGTGGATGCTTTTTTAAAAAAAACACATGTGTGGTACAGAATTCACACATGGATAGAGTAAACATCTTTGACAAACACAAGACTTCAAATAATGCTAAGAACGAAGGAATATAATGTGGTTCTAATCCCATGTAATTTAAACATTGTGGTCTGAGTCTAATCTCGAAAGTTGTACTCATTAACCGTTCCGTGTGTAATAAGAACATCATTGAACAAGAATTTCCTCTGCAGAATTCTCCAAGCAAGTAAGCAATATTTCATCACATTACATTCAATGTTGAGAAGGAATGTGCCGCAGTCAAGCTTGAACACCATCGTCAGAATAGATTTTGCAGAAAAAGGAAATTTATATCCTGGGAAACCTCAAACCAAGGATTGAAAAGAGAGCTTTTGAGCCTCTGAGAACTATTTTACTATGAGTTGATTGTGCCATTCGGAAATGCAAAGGAATCACTGCGTTGAATGGCTTTTCAGGTCAGTCAAATGGATGTGAAGAGCTATCAATCCAGTCCAAAGCAACCCAAAACTCAAATTCACTGCAGTCCTTGCTTGATAAATAGCTTTATAACTTAGAGTCACTGAAATACTTCTCTAGAATATCATTCATTATCTATCATTGTGATTCTTTAAAAGTAATTGACAGGCAATGTCAGCATTGTACCAGCTGTTAAAATGGTAATAACCTGGAGTCCTGAATCCAATATGGTCATCTTAGCTTTGCTAGACCTCTACTACGTCAACAAAATCTTCATCTTTTAATGCAAACATTTTTAATTATATGGGTCATCAAACCTGTATTTGACTTTGCTCAACCCAATGATTGGGGCTTGAGTTAAGACAGGAGACTGCATCACTGATTTGATTTGACAGGATCTGAGCATTAAAGAGGTGACATTTTAAGTATGGTGTAAAAGTTCTCCTCATCCCACCACCACCAAACACGCTCAATTAAGTTCACCATCCATTCTGTGATCAGCAGCATACAATTTCCCCTCCCAATCATTTCAATGGTGTGAATTTCAGTAACAATAGAAATTTGGATCATTTAAAAAAAGAGCATCTGAAAATACGCTAACTCATCTGAAACAGCAGTTATTCTGCCCTGTTGACTTAGAATGAGAGATAATAGCTCCTTATACAAATTATATTAATTAACGTTTGTTTCTATTAAACACTTAATCTGCCACAAGTTGCTGGAAAGAAAAGGCAAACAATGAAATCATTTTAGGCTACCACAGTCATTCTGTTAGATATAGGCAGTGCTTTGGTATCAACAGGCGTGTCTTGTTTTATAGGGCATGACCTGTACTGAGTAACCCTCTCAGTGAGGTCCACAGAGACAGTGGTAGCTAGTTCAGAGTGTGCTGACTGAATGCAGCTTTCAGCAGATGGCAGGACACTCCTGGAATCTGTTTGCAAAGGTTGAGCTGGGTCGTGTGATGACCCCTGGTTCCTAGCCTTAGCGTTTCTATTCTGATAATGGTTTCTGTTGCCATCCTGGGGAGGTCCCTTCCGGCTCCGAATTCTACCATCGTCTGAATTTCTTGGGATGTTTGCTCCATTTAACCAAAGACCTTGGGCTTTGGGGTTGAATCCTCTCCGTTGTAGGGAAGAGGCACCACGCTGATAACTCTACAAGGGAGAACAAACCAAAAATAATGAATGTGTCTCATTTGAACATCCAACGGATTTCCACTTCTATTGACAACGGCTTTATTTTTGGTGAGTTGGATGTCCGGACACACACAGACACCTATTACCATGCTTTAAGAGTGTCCAAACCAGTCTGAGAGTTCCATGTAAGTGACCTATACATGGAAATTCCCATGTTTGAAATGGAATGTGTATTCTCTCCCTGGAGGGACCCATCCTGCTTGCCTATTTCTGGAGAGTATTAGGTAGAAGTTGACAATACCTCAGATCTTGGGGACCACAGAGTATATGTTGAGTTCCTGCTGTAATTTAACTAACTAAAACCACATAGATTGCCATTGAAAGCACTGCCTGGCAAACTTTCTGCTATTTGTCCAGCTCGGACCACCTTGCTTGTTGAAGATGAAATCATCAAAGGCGTAAAAATGGTCTGGCTTCACTCCAATATAAGAAATCCCTGGAGATTCTGTGTTAACCCCAAAGCATGATAAATATGTTTTTACCTGTTTATCCGCAGAAACCTTCTGGATTTTGGCATTTGCTCCTTTTTGACTAACAAATGACAACACATTAAGAGAGGTTGGCACTGAAGAAGCAGTGTTAACACTGCCTTCAGGTTTCAGGCTTGAAGAAGACTGAGCAGCGATGCACTGAGCTCTCGTGGAGTAATTATTCTTAGGATGTGAAACTGAAAAAAAGAAATTTTGAGCAACAAGATGTAAAAGGCCCGAACTTACCAACTCTGTTGTAAGTCTGAAATAACACAGAACCTCCACTGATGAGCCACAGATAATGTTGCATAGGATCTTTACTCACAGTTTCCAGGCACTTAAGATTTGTTTTGACGATTACTTGTATATAAATGTATTTTTTTTACCCAGTGTGACGTGAACATATGAATCTTTCCTGAAGGTTTTACTGATGCAAACTAGTTGGATAGAATTGCTCATTTCTGTGCTGTATCTAATGTTTTAATCGCTCAGGTCTCAGAAAACTACACAGTTGAGACTGACTGGAATTTGAACTCTTCACCTATTTGGTATCCGTAATAGCGTTCCTTTATGGAACTGGGATGCTGATGCCTTGCAGGTTTAGACAGTGGGAGGGAATCTTCTGACATCACTCTCGGTGAAGAGACAAGCACTTCCCAATGCCTCTACAAAAGTTTAACACAACAGCAAACACACTCCTGTAGGGCATTGTTATGTGCAAGTTGGCTGCTGGATTTGCCCATAATTACAACATTTGCCAGCAATGACCTGTGAAACATTTTGAGAAGTTTCAGCATTATAGATTCTATATCAAATGCAAGGATTGTTTTTATATATGAGCGATGATATCTGCTAATCTGCACATCAGCACTCTGATAGATGTGTCTTTGCTAATACTTCCCTCCAGATGGCAACAGAGGGTTCAAATTACTCTATTAAGGTATGTGTGACCCACACTGAGGTGTGTTTTTGAGGGGGTGAACTCACATTCCCCAATTTCTTTTACACATGCCAGTTTATTGCATTGTCTTCAGAAATACTCTCTTAAAAATGTTTTCCAATATTGAATTTAAAGCGACCTCGTTGACCTACTTTAAATTAAAATTGATTCAGCCAGTCTGTCCCTGCTCTCTGGAGCTCACTTCAAAATTCTGCCTTCAAAACCCAATATAAGATCCATCTCTCCTGCTATACTTTTAGCCCGTCGCTCACTAGGTCCCTTGTTTGATGCCCAGTTTGAACCAAGTTAGCTGATCTTAGGTAAGGCAGTAATTAGTTGGCATCAGTGCCCCTGGATTAGGGAAGGAGGAAATCAGCAAAAGGTTGCTGCTCGTGACCAACATCCAGAGACACCCAGCTGGAAAGTGTGCGTGTATGTGGTTAGGCTATGATTTCCCCACACTCAGATTGTCACGTAGTGACAGGTCTCATAGGTGAATAATGGCTGTTGTCCAAAATGTGCCTCAATTTAACAGTGTGGGTGTGATCTGCATTTGGTATCCCAAATCTTGGTCATTGGTATCCCAAACGCAGATCAGCCTAATTCCATGTCCCAAAGTGTTTCATTTCACATTTACGTTTCGCCCTCAAAAATACAGTCAATCCATTTTACAGTAAATCCTACAAAGCTCTTTGAGACGTCTTGATGATGTGAAAAAGCGCTATATCAAATGCAAGGCTTATGATTATTATTTTTATCTATTCCACCTTATCACATCGGACACTCCACAAGAAGTAACCATGATTGTGGTTATTGCTGTAGAGGAGCGTGGAGAGTTTTGCAGAGAATCGGAGCTCAGATTAATTTCCTCACCTTCTCCAAACTGTTGGATCTGGGCCCCCAGGCTCTCAGGGCTGCCTGTGAACCGAGCTGATCTGCCCAGCTCCTCGTCGTATTTGCGATCGCTTACAAAGTGCTGGGAAGAGATCAGAAAATTGACAGCCACGTTAGAAAGTGTTAGGGAGAAAGGGAAAGAGAAAGGGAGCGAAGGAGGCCAGATTTTTGAATGGCAGAGGTGTAGAAATGATTTTCTGAGTTGGGTCACAAAATGTAAATAGTGCTAACTCAGACTGTGCCTTTACACAAAAACAGTTGTGAAAGGGAGCTGTGTCAGCAAAGCAGCTGGTGGGGGTGGAGGCATAATGCTCTCCTTCCCCCAATTGATACTGTACATCAAAGTGGGCTGGGATCTGTCTACGCAGAGTAGCTACTCCTCCATCACTGACCTTAATCTCCGCTCGAAGTTCAGCAAGCTGCGATTCCGACATCTGGATAGCAACATCTGTCAGCCTCTTCAGCTCCTCAGCTCTCCTCTGTCGTGAGTCCAGGATCTCCACTGGGGGAAGAGAACACAACAGAACCTTCTTTACATTACCCTGTTGAGATTGAATTGGGGTGAGGTTTGTAGTGAGTGGGATATCACTCTCACCCAGTCTAGTTCCTGGCAGTATTGCCCACATTCCCCCTTTACAGGATGCTGCGGAGCACCTCTGAGAACACGATTAACAGAACCGGGTCACAAATCAAACGAGAAACCCAATTCTCTTCAGCCAAGACTCTCTGAGCTATTTTAACTTCCTGCTCAGCTACTATCAGCAGGTTGGTCATAGATGCCCCTCAACATACATCGACAAGATGCATTTCTTGTGCTACGGAAATCAGATAAGACCAGTGCTGGTGTGCACGTGAGAATACAACCACAACAACAACTTGTACGCAGAAAGTGCCTATACACAGGATCGTGTCTTGGATCGTTGAATGCAAGCGATGATAGACCAAAAATCTCAGATGAGCAGGAGAGTGGGTTCCAGACTAGACATTGAGAAAAAACATCAGCGATGACTTGATGACTGTTTATGTGCGTTGATATTCTACAATTGGTTCATGAGACTCTGTGGAAATTTTGCCCAGTTCAGTCATGATACAAGAAGCCATGTGGAGTCCTGCAGCATATAAATTAGAGCACTCGCAAGCGAGAGGATCCCGGTTCAATTCCCGGCCAGCGTGAAACCTTAGGAAAATTTCCTTACTCTACATGCCTCTATTTGCCTAGCAGTAAGTAGGAACTCAGTCATTAGTCAATTGACAGATCGCTTTTCAGGTGTAGTAATCTCTTCAAAAAAAAATGATAATTTAGTCACTCAATCCACTACTGATTGAGGGGCACTGCTGTACCCAATTGCCTGCCGTGATCTGCCCACAAAATACACAGTCAATTCACTTTACAGTCCATTCTGTGAAGCACTTTGAGACATTTCAACAACGTGATAAGGCACTGTATCAAATGCAAGAATTATTATATCTGCTAATTTACTAGGATCACTACACTCGGGTCTCAGCTGTCAAAACCTGACTGATATAATCCTCATATACTGAAGGGATTTCTTGCATCAACATATCTTTTGAAACAAGACCCACCTTCAATGCTATAAATCCATACACTGCTGGCTAGATGAAACAGCAGTGGGACATTGTGTGACAGAGTTCACTTACTCAAAGACAGGAATCAGCACAATCAGAAATGCTCCCAGACAGTTCAGATTCCAGTTCCTTTCAAGAACGCGGGATGTCAAATTTCAGAGCACTTGGACGTTTGGAATAGATTTGCTCTCATGTGGGTGAAAAATTTAATCTTTCATAACAGAAGCAATAATTGTCAAATGTGTTACCCAATCTGCTGTAAAAATCTCAGATTTTAATCCCTGAATTTTCAAGACTGTTGTAAGATGCCTCTTCTCCCCTGTGAGGATTCCTGCTCTATTGCTAAACCTATTGAAATGCATACAGTGATAACATGGGCTGAATGTGGGACACATCAGCAACTTCAGCAGAGAACGATTCAGTTCAGGGTTATTGGGTTCATGAAATTTAAATTCATTCAATAAATGGGACATAGTGTAATGTTACTTGATTATCTGCCAGCGTGTGTCTGTACAGGGAGTCTCAGAATTTCCTGCCTTGAGGGAAATGCTTTATGGACGATTATGAGGTTGCAGCATGTTCCTAACAATCTGTACAACACTGGAGTAATTGAGGAAGATTTGCAAATGGAGTAGTCCCACATTCCTATTTTTCTATGAATAAACATTCAATTCTCCCATTGCATAATGGTGAATCACAATTGCCAGTTCTGTACCACATCTGAACAGAATGCAATGATCACTGGTGAGACTTATAAAGGCCTGTACTGTTTTCTGTGCTTATAAGGGAGCTACAAAATATCTGTTATACTGAGAGATTTGTAATAAGTGTATGAAATAACATTGTAATACAGATATATCTAACACAGTCAGTATTTTAGATGATAAATACATGGTCAGTGCTTTTGTGTATTACACCAGACCTCTGGGTTCTGCCTAGTTTTAGTCCATCTATGCTGATGCTCCAGTGTGTTGCTGAGCCAATGTTGTACTGTTCGAGGTTTTGGATGAGACATTAAAACAAGGTTGTGCATTAAGGTGGACATAAAGGATCACATGATCCAATTCGAAAAAGGCCAAAAATCTTTCACACTAATCAGTCATTCCCCCCATGGATCTTCCTGGTGCAAATAGGTGACACGTTTGCCTCCAAAAACAATCACCACACTTGACAGCAATTGCCTGCGAAGTTCTTTATGAGGTTTAAACATAACCTATATTAGCAATATAGGTTCTTTAATACACAAAATGTTCAGAGAACATTAACCGTCAGCTGAGAAGATTGGAAAACTCTTCTTTAAGACTGTATTTAACACATCTGCCCAGCCAGTGACTGGAATAGTGCCACAGTACAGAATGTCTCAGTAAAGATCGGAAAACTTATCTTAAAAACTAATCAGTTCGACCTCCATTGTGGCAGCCTTCATGTTACATTAAAGCCCACTTCATCTAAGCTGTGGCTGCCATGATGAAATGCGCCTCAATATCTCCGCCAAAGCTTAAACAACACTTTGCATTTATAAAGCATCCTTTATGTGGAGTAGTGCCACAGATCTGCTGAGCTGCTTTTGTCCTTTGAGGTGGGAAACATGGAACGGCCGTTAGATCTTCTCCATGGGAGTCTTCTATGTCTCCATAATGTATGTATCATTGACCATGAATTGGAATGAAAAATGACAAGACTACTGCCAAAAGAATACAGAACTTGACAGGATCAAACCTAAAACACTGAAAGCAATCTGCTGTTGAGTATTTTTTTGATTAAATATGCTTTTGAACTTGCTCTGTTGCAGCTGATGCAAACTAATAATGGTATCTCACTTCATCTATTCTGTTACAGCTCACTGTTTAGAGCTTTGGTTTTGGCTTTCTCTGAGGTACCGGAATTCATTTTCCAGGAAATTTTTCCAGACTTTAAAAGAAAGTGCATGCAAGGCAAAGGATGAAACAGAGGAAAGCACAGGACTCGAAAAGATCATTGTAGTTCAGTTGGCTGGTCCCAAACACATGGCATTGATTTGGTCTTCATTTCATAGAATTTATACAGATTTACACAGTTGTGGAGTCCCACAAGTAGCATAGTGGTTATCGCTCTCACGGGTTGAATTCCTGGGCAGGGTGAAACCTTAGGCAATTTTTTTTACTCCACAGGCTTCTGTTTACCTAGCAGTAAATAGGAATCCGGTTGCTAGTCGATTGGCGGATCACTTTCTGGGGGTAAAATCCTTCAAAAAAAATTGGTCGCTCAATTCACGACTGTTTGTGCTGCTCCAAAAGTACCTGCCACGTTTCGGCCACAAAGTACACAGTCAATCCATTTTACAATATATTCTGTGAAGCGCTTTGAGACATCTGAATGTCAAATGCAAGGATTATTATTCCTTTTCTTAAAATACAATGCAGTTTACTTTTACAATAGCACTTTCACATTGGGAGGGCATCTCAGGGAGCTTTGCACAGCAGACTGGGGGATTCAGCAGTAAAATTATTGTAGCTTTAATGAGCATTTCTTGCAGTCAGACTGTACATTTGAACAGGTTACAAAAAAAATTCAACACAAATGTGGTAAGAACAGATTTCATTGAGGAAAGGCATGGAGCACAGTTATAGGAACGTAGGATCCAAAACAATTATTTAAGGAAAATAAAACTTAGTGCCACAATGTGTGGAAACAGTGGAGAACAGTGGCAGAATGAACCTTTGAAACTCGACCAGGGCAACTGAGGACACAGCGTGTGGTTGCCAGCGACTTTCTGCAGCACTGTTCAATAAAGCAGCTTGAATGGCTACTTATTTGTTTAAGAAGCACAGCTAATGAAAGAGAGCTTCATTTGCTCTAAATAAATAACTCTTTGACACGTCTGCCCAGCCAGTGACTGGAACAGTGCCGCAGTACAGAACGTCTCAGCAAACACAACATTTTACAGTCCGAGGATGTCAGCACGTTCACTTCTTTAAGTTAGAAGCCAAAGAAGAGTTAGGCAGCTCTTGTGTCACATCAATGCACCACGTCCAAGTTAATTCAGAAATTGTACAGAACACTCGCCGAAGAGTCGTGGAACATCACTTGAAAATGGGGTGTTAGGAAGGCTGGCGGGTTTAGAGCAATGCCAAATAACCTTAAGGGGAAGGTTTGTTTAAAGCAAGGTTCATTCTGCAACAGGTTGGTACCTGGCAAATTCTAATAAGACTGCTGCTGGTTTATAGGAACAGCTAAGACTGGAGTCTTCGCTTTTGCTTTATTGATACTATCCTCAGCAAATCTACAGGTGACTGACTACTGAGTTAACTGACGTAGGTACGTTAAAAAAACGTGATAATCAGAGCTTTATATGAATGTAGTTCTTCAATGCCTGGAGCTTCTTACAAGAGGGTTACAACATTGTTATTACCTGACAAGCTTTCCATCACCAAAGAGTGGGTGCATACAGATTGCACAATACACAAATAATACCTTTTGATGCTGCCTCCTTGACAGATACAATGTATAGAATGTATAAATGCCAATGGAATTGTGGTGAAAAGAAATGGCAGTTTCTACCAATCAGCATAAAATAGTATTTGCAGTGATCACCCAGTTGCTGTCCGGATAAATATTTTAGCGAATGCCTCTGCAAATGGGAACTTAATGGCATCACACGTAGGGAAACATAAGTAAAGCACTGACTAAAATTGTTTTACTCTGAGTTCGGCGGCCAGACTTTCAGCTTTTCAGTCCCCACCCTCTGAAACTTCATTCCGGAATCCCTTCAACTTGCTCCCTCCTTTGCCTCCTTCAAGGCCCGTCACAAGACTCTCCTCTTTGACTGTGCCTTTGGTCACCCTCCCATTCCTACATCCCTTGCCCTCCAATCCTCTTGATTCTAATCCCCAGTTTGGATACAAATCCTTGAGATCCAGCGCCTTGATATCCAGCACCTGATGTCAAAGGTGCTATGTAAATGCAATTTCTTGTTGTTGTTATGTTATGCAACTGATGTATAACCTCCTGAAATATTTCAAAGCACTTTACAGATATAGAGGAATGCCAAACAGGGAAAAGGAGGATTTAAGAATGTTGACTAAACGCGTGGCCAAGGAGATACGTTTTTAAGAAGATTTTAAATGTAGAGAGGGAGGGAAGGCACAAAGAGAAGGACTTTTGACTAACTCACTAGAGGGCAGGCTGAAGGCTCAGCCACCAATGGTGGGACAGGAGGAGCCAGGAGAGAGAAATAGAAATCGGAAGAGTAGAAAGTATATACTGTATATTCGACACAAAGTTTTATTTGAATACTCCAAATGATAACAGTTGCATCCAAGCAGTGGTGTGCTAATAAATATTCAATTAGTCAAATAAATTTTGATAGGAATAAACACTGGGGAAAGTGTATCTCCACTCAGGTAGCATATGCTAAAGTGCACTTTTAAAAAGAAATATTTTACATTACTTACAGGCTTCCTTTTTGATTTTATCCAGTTCTGACATTAATGCTACCTCTCGGTCCATGATACTGTAGAGAAAGAAAAGGAAATTAGAATCAATTGCAAACTATCCATATAGCACAAGTTTTTCTAGAAGTATCTCATTAGTGCAGAATTTATCTGTAAGGTTTATGCATCAGAAACTGGCATTTATCTCAGCCACCCACACTCGATCACGATTTGCTGGCAACACATCTGAACAAGTAAACCCATCAAAGCTCACTGTGGATCAATGCTACTGAGTGACTGCATGTTACAAAGATGCAAAGAAATGAGAGATTTTACATTTTGACCAGTATAAAGATTAACTAATTGCATCCACATGTTGAGTTACTCAGTACGTGCTCGATCATGTAGTTTTGCCAACGTGTAGAATCTCTGAATCAGACTAAGCAGCCTACATTTTTCCATGTATTTTTTATAAATTGACAGTATTAGGAATACTAAGTCAATACTGAGGAAGATATTTACCAGCAAATCACTATGTAAAAATATCTCAACATTACCAGATGTTACTTTACAGTACATCCTAATTCCACCACGCCGAATCTGCAAGTACCACTCAACAAGTCCAAAGGAAAAGCTAAACATGAATTTCCTTTGAAAGAACACATTTTATTCATTGGAATGAACAACAAATGTCTGGCAGGGAATCAGTGACAGGCTCTGGTGACATCAATAAACCAAATTCAAACTTTCTTATGATGATTTATGTAGGATCGACAGAATTTGTGCTTTGTAACTCACTCACAGATAGCAGTCTATAATAATTATAATCCTTGCATTTGATATAGAGCCTTATCACGTCTTTGAGATGTCTCAAAGTGCTTCACAGAATGTACTGACTGTATATTTTGTGGGCGAAACGCAGCAGCCAATTGTGCACACCAGTGTCCCATTTATTTTTATTATTTTTCTGAAGGAATTATTATCCCCAGAAAAGCGATCCGCCAATCGACAAAGTTACTGCTAGGTAAAACAGGTGTGTGGAGTAAGGAAACTTGCCCAACATTTCGCCCTGCCAGGAATCGAATCCAGGTCTCTCAAATGCGAGGCGAGTGCTCTAACCACTGAGCTACAGGATGTTATGTGCTCATTGCGCATTCAAATGAATCAAGCTTAAGTTGGAAACCTCATGAGTCTAGAGTTTTAGTGACATCTTTGAACTCATTGAGCCGACTCAGCCCCATTGCCCTGCACTGCCCGCAGAGAAACATAACACAATTAACCCTTTGTATGCTGTTGTCAATGTGGAGAATTTATAACCGATATCTCAGAGCAGGTTATCAGTTCCTCTGGCAGATGTGAGTCTCCCTGTGACTCTTCGTACAAAAGGGGGTCAGTGAGAACAGCCAATGTAGCAGGTTTACCTCCACAGCCAACCGTCTGGATTTTAAAGAATGAAGAGCAGGTTTGCGTTCAGTCAAGATAATTGTTTGAGAGGCAATCAGTTACCAATAGCAACATTATTTCTATTGAGCGTGTGCTATTAAATATGGATATGTATGGAACCTCTAATAGTGAATCAGGATTACATTAAGAACTAAGCTCAATTTCCCTGAAACAAAAAAAACTTTAATTTGTCTTAAATATTTTATTAAGGTGGAAAAAAACATCCCCCTAGTTGTGCAACAAATCACTCTGAGGCCAGAAATCCCACCTAATGTTATCCTGGGAAACAATTTTGTCCCTTTCTCGCAGTTCTTAAAAATATCAGCTTCCAAATTATCCCTGAATTTCCCCAGAGCTTTTCCCCAGAACATGTGCTACAACATTATATTCCTCTCTGCTGGTCACACTGAAGCTCTGTTCTGCCAGTGGCCAGCTAACTTCCCACTACTCAATCAACAGAGAAGATTTCCATCCTGACCTTTACAGGAATCAAACGCACAGCTAAATAAAACCACAAGGAGATTGGTAGTGGGTTTAATTTTACAAACCAGCCCAGCCAGGCGGTGACTTGAAATTTCACTATTTACTACAAGTTGAAGAATCTCTGAAGCTTGCCGTGATCTAGGAGGAATGCTGCTTCCTCTCCCGAAGCTGAACTCTTTGTACCTCAGACTCCAGCGGGATGAATATTAAATTGTGTGATTGCTCATGTTGGTGAAGCTATTGTTATGGTGGGGGAACAGCATAACTGTATATAACTACTTATGAAGCCGCATATAACTACCTACTCCATCTCACCCAATTACATAGACCAGAACTCCATTATGCACTGTTATCCAAACAATGTCCAATGATCAGTGGACTTCCCAAATTATCCTTAAGTGGGTGCGTTATGACTTGCTTCACAAATCATTCTAGATTTGTTCCAGTAAATGAAGATTCAAGTGTTTGATCAAGATAAATTCTTGTGGCGTTGAGTCTAGGAATGTAACAAAGGACTTGGCAGGATGACAGTGTGCCTCAAGCAAAATTTACCAACAAAATTGCTGAGCAATATCAAGTGTGCTTCTGTCTGCACTGGCCTTTATTGTAGATATTTCAAAATCAGGCAGCTGAGTGTTGTCAAGCTTTGTAGTTTCTGTCTCCTTGCTGAAGATGTCGGTCACCCTTAGAGACTTGTCTTGTATTCGTAATATTACATACAAACTGCATTCCTCCAAATCCTGTCGCAAGAGTTGTAGGGAATCAAAGAACAGGTAGACTGAAACCAATAGGACAGACCTGCATTGGATTTTAACTGCTGAAGTAACACACTTCTCACAATTAATCTTTTAATATCCGATGAAACTCTTTATACAATGGATAGAAGGGTGAGAGGTTGTTCTAACCAAAATAGTTTTTTTTTTAACTGTGAAGGGACAAGGTTCAGTGTCCAGCACATTAATTGTGTTTGAAAGATTAGAAGAGAAAGTGAGACGATAAATAGAGAAATAATGGTTGGATGAGACACTTGGGTTTTTAAAGACTGTAGATTGCATGAGGAAGGAAGAGAGAGGGCTCACTGTATTACAGTCTTGAGGTTTTGGGCGGAATGGGGGATGGGAGGCCAGGTGATGCTGGTTAAAGGCTTTATTTTTAAAACAGCTTTTTTTTTCACAAGGTATACAACAATAACTTCATTAGACTCAATGATACAGCTTATTCTGTAAGAACATTTGAGGAGCATGTGTTGGCATAGGCATGGGCAGGGATTGCCAGTTAATACTGGATGCTTCTCCCAGTTGGGAGATCAATGGACAGCAAACATTCATTACTCTCAGACAGTTCCTGCATGGCTGATAATACAGACTTGAATCATGAATATTGATACCTGGGTCATTCCTTTCCTGGCAGAAGAATCCATATCTCTTAACGGTCACTTTATTAATGAAGAATTTGATGATGAATTTAAGGACTGTGCCCTGAGATCTGGAGGGAGGTTGTAAGTCACTATTCTGAACTTTGGGGAGAACTGAAACTGAAACTTGTCTCACCATCTGCCAGGTGTGCAAACATAACAACAACAACAACAAAACTGCATTTGTATAGCGCCTTTCATGTCGGGAGGATATCCCAAGGCGCTGGATAGACAGAGTTTCAGACCCTAGCTGGGAGTCGAGATCGAGGAAGGTGGAGGGCGGGGCGGTGGGGGGGAGTAGGGATATCGAAAGCATGATCGAAGAGGAAGGTCTTGAGATGGGTCTTGAATGAGGCAAGGGAGGGGGCGAGGCGGAGGGACTGTGGAATGGAGTTTCAGAGGGTGGGGGCAGAGTGGCAGAAGGCTTGTCCGCTAATAGTGTTGGGAGCTAGATGGGGGATGTGAAGCAGGCCGGAGCCCGCTGAGTGGAGGGAGCGAGCAGGATGATAGGGGGTTAGGAGGTCGCAGAGGTAGGGGGGAGCAAGACCATGGAGGGTTTTGTAGGCGAGGATCAGGATCTTAAACTGTATCCTCTGTGTGATGGGAAGCCAGTGCAGTTGAGCGAGGATGGGGTGATAGGGTCACGGAGCCTGGTGCGGGGGAGGACACAGGCTACAAAAAGTGATGCTGCAATTGACATCATCACAATAGGTCATTGGCATTAACAACCATGGCTTTAAAATTATTAGTGGTCTTGATACAATTAAGAGGAAGAAATTATTTCCTCTGATTGGTGAGTGGGTAACCAGTATAAGATAATAATAATCCTTGCATTTGATATAGTGCCTTATCACGAGATGTCTCAAAGTGCTTCACAGAATGTACTGTAAAGTGAATTGACCGTATATTTTGTGGGCGAAACACGGCAGTTAATTGCGCATAGCAGTGTCCCACAAACAGTCATTGATTGTTAGTAAATGAACAAATGGGAATGTTGGAAGAAATGTATTCACCACAGAATAGCTCAGGATATGGAATGCACTGCCAGGAGATTATGGTTGAGGCAGAATCCATATTAGCCTTCAAGAAGAAACTAGATAAATACCTTAAAAAGAGTCAGCTTCAGGGTATGGGGAAAGGGCACATAAATGGGACTGAAAGGATTGTTCTTGAGGTAGCCAGTATAGCCACGAAGGGCTGAATGGCATTTTTCTGTGCCACAAATTTCTATGGTTCTATGGGGAGAAATTCCTCCTTTACTCTATTGTTGGAGGGTTCAGAATTCTTGAATGTTTGAAGCCTTCTTTTAAGAACAGAAAACCAACTTCAGAGTTACAGCTTTGTACTTCACCCGGTGATCCTACTAGCAAAAGATTGCTGGGAAGAAATTCCACCTAAGTCTAGATGTTCTCTATTAATGTAGCATTTCAAAACAACCAGAATTTGGCAAATTGTCTAATTCAGTCTTAAGTTTCAACTCATTTTTCTGTATATCTTGAAAATAAGTTTACAGGAAAAATGGCTTCAAAATTAAGACTGTATTTAAGAAGGTGCCAAATTCTCTACATAAATAGAGCAAATCTAGACCCAGGTGTAATTGCTGCCCAGGTATCTGTTGGTATGCTGAAGCCAGCCATTATCAGCCACTTGTGTCAAAAAGCACAGCTGGTAGAAAGGCAGGTACGAATGTGATAAAGTCGACAGGACAAGCAAACACACTCAAATGCTAGCTTGAAATTATACCTTCATCCACTTCCAGCTGTCTGATTGATCTGAAAGTAAGGAAAGGCCAATACTTATGTCTAAGTGAATTCTTGGAATAGCTGAGGTGCTGTGTAGCTGCTGCTTGTATTAGTAGGTTTTGTAAGAACATAACTGGAAAAGAAGGAGCTGTGAATCAGCCTGGCTCAGAGGGTGCAAAATTTGGCAAACTCTTAAATTCAGTCTACAGTGTGAAGACAGTTTTCTGTAGACATTAAAAAAACCCTTACAAAAATACCTTCAAAATTGACACTGCATTTAAGAATTTTTCAAGTTCTGTGCACTCCAGAGAATGGAGGTATGAAAATTCCACGGTTTAACACCAACAACAACTTGCATTTATATAGTGCTCCTCACGTAGGGTAGCATCTCAGAGCGCTTGACAGTGCTGGAGCACATCGCCAAGCTGGGGGGAAGGGGAGGTGACCGTAGGCACGGTCGAATAGGAAGGTCTTCAGGCGCGACCTGAAGATGGCGAAGAAAGGGGCAAGGCGGAGGGATAGAGGAAGAATGTTCCAGAGTTTCAAGGAGCTCTGACGTATAAACACCAACCAACGCCCAACAACAGTTAATTTCTGATGTTATTAAAGCTCTGAGAGCGTTATTACCATTGAAAGAACGTTTACATTTAATGTGAGTGCACTGGAGCCAACAGCATGGGTTGCATTTTGAAATCATCTCCTGGAGCTATTTTAGAGAAAGGGGCTTGGAGTGGAATTGATGCCCTTAAAATTGAATTTATGCTGCACCTTCAGCGATGAGGTAAAACAGGAAGCTGCTAACTGTGCGGCAGAAGTGACGCATCACTGCTTCTGCACTCTCTTTGTCATGGCCAAGTCTGAGAATGTTACTAGTCTTCAGATGGGCACAGGTAGGAAATGTAAAAGAAAGTGCTCGCCCTATAATAATTGGATTTACCAATCACCAGGAGTTTCTCCCATTGTGCGAGCTAATAATCCCGATAAAACTGGCCATTCACTTCATGGCTGTTTGTGGGAGATTGCGGTTTGCAAATTGGCTACTGTGTTTGCCAAATATTACAGTAAAATCCTGTGAAGTATTTGGAACACATTTCAACAATGAGCTAAGGTGTTAAATCAAATATACGGATAATTATTAATATTGTTCGCACTGCTGAAAGCGAAATCTCAACCACTTATCATTCTCGCCCAGTGGGAAAAATCAACAAAATTAGATTAAACTTAAATGATTAATTATTCCAATAAATTGAAGAAAAACTGTTTGAGGATTTCCTTAGTGGCATGAATTCTTGTGATGGAATTAACTAATCGAAAATAACTATGATTAAAGTATTCATTGAATTTTAAAATAAAAGTAACTTGATGTTAATTACGGACCAATTTAAGATCATTAATATTAAATCCAGTTTAATAATATTACGCTGTAGATAGTTGAAGTATATTAACCACCTTTATGAGAACAGAGACCAGCAATCTCTAAATTACAAGGCTTTTAAATAAACCAGGCATGGCTTTTCCTTGTTTACATCTCAGACCATAAAGCACTTACCAGGTCTGGAGCTCACCAAAGGTAACCTTAATCTTCTTCACCGAAGCATCCATTTCCTCTTTGATCAGGAGCTGATACCTGGCCAGCGAGACTGTACATCTCTGCAGGTCTTTCATCGACTTTTCAATGTAAGGACCTGTTGTGAGACATGGGGAGATTAGTGCTGCACAGCTTACTGAGATCTCTCAGGAGTTTGCCAGTTTTACTCCCTCCCACACTGTATTTATAAGTTGCCTTTTAAAAGTTCTTGGTGAATTTTCTGATTGAGGGTTGTGGAAGCTGGAGAGTGGAATGGCTTCTCATTACACACAGGCTATATGAATAGTAAAGCTTTTACTCTGGCCCCCACCCCTACTAAGTCTGTTAATCTCAAAACGCACTCCAAAGTGAGAGGAGGGAGTAACACTCATTTCTCCATGTTATGTGTAATATTTCTGTTTGCTACACCAGCATTTTTGCAGCCTCTCTTATTTGCTGAGGTTTATTGGCAAGGTCCAAATAGAGTTGAGACTTGAAAGGGAAATTTCAGGACAGACACAAGGAAATCTTTCATTACACAGAGAGTAATTAACAAATCGAACAGTGATTGAACCCACAACACTGGACTAATTTAAAAAGCAGCTTGATGCTCTGATGGAAAGATAGGGGGGTTTGGGGGTGGTTTGTTGCAGGGATGAGATCCAATGGGCCGAAGGGCCTTCTTTAGCCGAACCCATCTTGTGATCCTGTGATCTTGTGAGAACAACTGTCAGAGTGAAGACTTTTGCAAACGGAGCCTCATGAAACTGCTCTTTTTAACGACAAAGAAACCAAACTCGCTTCCCAGCAAGATTCGGGCAAAGAAAACCATTTCGCCAGAATATCAGCCTTGCCACCTTCCTATTGCAGCAGCAAGCAGTTTGTTAAATCCAAAACCCTGGCTTGAACTACTCTTTTTGATAACCCATTCCAGCTGTTGATTATTCTTGGCTCTACGCTGTTCCAATTTCTTGGTGCATTTGAAGGATGTCAGTGCTGTGGAATGAAAGATTCACTTTTTGCAATCCAGAGTGATATTAATGAGTGGGACTGATATAAATTTTGGAAAACCCACCTTGTGAAGGGAAGAGTGTCATCACTTCTGACAAACTCTTCATTCATGTACTGGAGTTTCTGCCTTGCAAATACAGAATTCTTGACACCAATGGCCCCTTTAAGAAACGGACCACTGAAGAAACTACCATAAATACTCAGGGCGACAGAGTCTGGGCCGCACATGGAGACAGAAAGTTAGCAGTTAATCCCCTGGGATTTATTTGCCTCGTTTCCCTCAGCATTTCATTCCTCCCATGACCGTACTCTCAAAACTCTTGGCACTGCATTCTAAAATGCAGCTGCGCTCAGCTTTTTTGGTATAATAATAATAATCCTTGCATTTGATATAGCTCCTTATCATGCCTTTGAGACATCTCAAAGTGCTTTACAGGATATACCGTAAAGTGGTTTGACTGTGTATTTTGTGGGGGAAACACGGCAGCCATGCAATGCCCTACAAACAGTTATGGAGTGAGTGACCAATTTTATTTGGGGGATTATTAGCCAGGACACTGGGAGAAACTCCTCTTTTCGAATAGCGACATAGGATCATTAACGGCCACCAGAACAGGTAGACGGGACCTCGGGATGAAAGGTCAGCCTATTCTGGCAGAGGTGAATGATCCCATATTATTTAGAAACCACAAGGAAAACATTCCTGGTGACCAACCTCAAACCAGGTTCCATACATTCACTGCCTTGGTCATAGCTGGGGCGATCATGAACTTTTACAATAATACTGCCCCTGTTGGAAGCGTTAACAAATGATTTGAGAGAACATTAATGGGAAGGGGGCAATGGATTATTGACTATTGAACTTTTTTTTTTTGGTCAGCCGGGTGTCACATGCGGAAACCCATCACCATGTATCCAAACCAAACTGAGAATTCCAAGCTTCTCACCCATCCATGGAAATTCCACTGATAGATTGTTGGAATGGAATTTGCACTCTCTCCCTGGAAGTACACATCCTGCTTACCTAATTCCGGAAAGTATTAGGCGCAGGTTGGCAAAAGCCAAGGCTTGGGGACCCCAGAGTGTGCGATGGGGTAATTGCTGGAGTCTAACCAGCTAAAACCACATAGCTTGCTATTGATAGCACTGTCTGGCAAGCTGTGTGTAACAGATGTCTGTCTGGCCTCTTGTCCAGCTAGGGCTTTGGCTTGCAGGGTTAAGAGGAGCTGAGTGGGATGACCCCCTCAAACTCGGGTTTATACCTGTATTAGAATAAATTCATTCCTTTTTGACAAGAAGTGATTCTGTTACCTCGCTTCTTGTTTGACGTCGAGTCTCCTGGTGTGGCTGGAGAGAACGTGGTGGATGCATGGAACCCAAATGGTGCTCTTGCCTTTGGCTTGTTAGCTGGAGTGACTGGCTGAGGTTTCGGAGCTTCGATCAATGACTGAATCACTGGTCCTGAGGGCGGCTTCTCACCTTCAGGACTGAGGCCGACTGCATGAACATTGAAAAGTTAACAATTTTAATGCCGGTTTCCTAAAAAGAGCCAGAATCAATAGCTATTAATTCTTATTTGCGGAATCTCAATTTCGTATTTTTTTAAAGATCAAAAAGAATTTGCATTTTTATAGCTCGTTACCACAATGGAACATCTCGAAGTGCTTAACAAGCTATTGTTATCAGGTGCGAGCACCAGCCTGCTTCGTGTTTCCCACCCTATTCTCATCAATGGATGGGCTTGCAGACATTCTGCCCTCGTCTCTGGAACTCCATCCTGGAGTCCTTCTGATTTGTTCCCTCCGCACTTTCAAGGCATGTCTTAAAACGTACCTCTTTGACCGCACTTTCAGTCATCGTTCCCCTCCCTCTCGGCTCCCACCCCTATCTCAGGTGTCCATCCAGCACAGTAAATGTGTTTTGAGACTCCCTACAACCCTACCTACCTGATTATTGAAAAATAGCCTCTCTCCAAAAGATACATCAGATGAAATAGGACTGGGCTCAGAGATGATGCCCTCCCCACTGCACCTCCAAGGCCAGATAACCTAGAACTCTCATTGAACCATCAAGGTATTTGGACAAAATCTTGGAGGTCAGTAGACACCCTTGAAGCATTACCCCTGCCTGTGCCTGTGTCTTTGGGGCAGGAGAAGGGAGAAAACACAACCAACAAAGTACCGTTTCTTCACAATGCAGTTCTGAAGCTCGTTTTGTTTTGAAGTGAAGCTCCATGTCATTATTTTTCAAATGAGCTAGTATTGTTGGGTTTCTTGTACCACACCCCCACCACCTTAGCCTCACCTTCCATCCCTCCTGATCCCAACCCCCCAGTTCGGGTCCAAATCCTTAAATGTCCAGCGTCTTGGGGGAACTTCTTGATGTGAAACGTGCTACAAAATTTGTTCTTTTTTTTAAAAGAACTAGCAGTGTGGAAAGAAACCGTACCCTGGGAGGGAGCAACTAACCTGTGTTATTTCTCTGTGTTATTTGTAGCCGGTGCAACGCTAGCTCCAGGGTTTCCTTCTCCGGGTTGGAAACAGTCTCCAGTGTCTCGTTGAGGGATTCCACCGAGGAGCCGTCGTTAGCCGACCCATTGCCATGATAACCATTCAGCCCACCTTTGGGCCTGGGGAGTTCGACTGCAGTTTCTGGTCGGTCACCATGTCCCCGCTCGTCCTTCCCTGACTCGCTATCCGGTTTGGGTTTGCTTTTCCTCTTCTTGTTGTGCTGGGCAGAGGAAGTGTCGGATTATTCATGCAGCCAACCAGTCAGTTGGCTCAGAACGTATCCAAGGAGGTGAGCTTTAAGACTTACCTTCTTTTTGCCTGGTATGTTCCACTCTCTCAAAACCACGACTGCACTTCCTGAACAAGAACAGAAAATGCACTAATGAACAGGAGCAATTCCTAACATAACGTAACTGCCCCACAGAGCATTGCTGTAGAGGATAGGACGACCGGGGGAGGGGTGGGGGGTTAGGGCAGGGAGGGATGTCTCTGAGGCCAACCGAGGATCCCACCAATATCCAGGGGACATGGAGGACTCCTCTCTGAGCGAGGATTATGTTAATGTCTCGCCTCAAAAGCCTCTGGGCTCTTACTTCATTGTAGATTATTTGCTGATTTTCGATGTCAGCAGATGCAAGGTGGCAGGTGTGACATTTGTGCCATATCTTAAAGTCATCTTTAAAATAAGGAAATACTGAACTGAATACGTGGGAGTCTTGGCAGAATGCTTTTACACCAGTTGCAAGGCTCACTGACACTAAAGAAAACAGCCTGCATTATTCCTTTATGCAAAAGCACAAACGTGTAAGGCCAACTAGAATTATATCTCCTTACCATCCACGAAGGCCTGAACTGCTTTGTCCACGTTGTTTTCAAAGTGTTGCAACACTAGAACTATTTCATTGTTACTTCTGTTTGGCACCACTGTTCGAATGGCACTGATCTGCAAAAGGAAACAGACTCTTTAAGAACAACAATCATAACAATAACACCAAATTGCATATATTATATACATTTCCAAGGTGCTGGACAGTCCAAGGTTTGCACACAAGCTGGGTTTTTGATTTGGGAGGGGTGGAGGTCAAAGTGGGAAGGGAAAAAGATGACCAAAGAAATGGTCAAAGCTGAAGGTCATGAGATGGACCCTGACCCACCTAAACAGTCAATACTCATTTCATTTGAAAATATGTCCCTCCTCACAAGGCCATGCACCCTCTTTTCATCTTTCATTTTAGTCTTAAACCTACATCCAAATTGCTGCCAATGGCAATGTTGACCTCTCTCCAGAAGGTGTCTAACTGGAGATGAGTAGTGGCTGACTGTCCAAGATTCATTTCCTTCCCTTCTGCAGATAAATGCTTGGACTTGGCTCAGCACCTCCCAATCCAGGGCAAACTCAGATCTAACTTATGTCACCCACTATAATTGTGCTCCAGAACTCAGAAACACAGCGTCACACTGCAGACATCTTGCACAATCACAAGAGAATCTTTATTATGTTTAGGAAAAAAATAGAACAATTGGGGATCAAAATATGATATTTGAAAATTAGAGTTTCAGATCACATTGGGCTATCTACTTCTGGGCTATTTCTTGATTGAGAAATAAACACAATCAGAATTTTTCCTCAGTAATTTAATCAAATTTTGGAGCGAGTCCCAAAGTTTAATCTGCAAATCAGAGTGCACTGTAATTATAGCAATTTCTTGTTTGCAAATATCGAATTTTCAACCCTCTTGTCAATTTAGCATTCTGTATAGAATTGCAAATTTGTGCATTGCATAAGACATAAAGCTTCCATACAGCTTTCATACTTTTGGGGGCCACAAACAATAATAAAGATGAGCTTTTGCCTTAGATTCATACCTTCTCCTTGAACCTTTGCTGAGTATTGGTCTGAGCCATTGTTCTCCTGTGGTAATCCCAGTCAAATCTGCAATTAATATAAGAAAGGTCAACATTCAAAATGTTTAGCTTGGCCAAAGTTGCATTTCCTCCAGCTATCCTTGCTTATAACAATCAATCCTGAATCCCACTGCACCCAATCCCATTTCTGGACTTCCTTCTTGTTCCTTGCATGAGAATCTACTTGGAAGAGATGTCAAACTATTTCACACACTCATGGTTAATTTCTAATCATTTTTCATTTCTTCATTACCCAAACGTACACTTTTGCTACGTGATAAGGCGCTATATCAAATGCAAGAATTATTATTATAATAAGCTGTTACCAGTGATTCAGCATTTAGTTATCATTTACCATGACTATCAGGCAATGTTTACTTTGCCTTTTCTGAATATACTGTGCTGTCTCTCGGTACATCACTTAAAAGGAACTGGTGTAAGCGGACTAAAACGCTTTCATTGCTTTCACATCAATTAGTCAACTCTTAACAGGAGTCATTTCAGCTAAGAGCCCTATTTCTGCTGGAAATTTTCCAGTAACTTCACAGTCATTGACTTCAATGAGATGCTTATAACAAGTGTTTTTTAAGGTCTTTCAAGGACCTTAACCCAGTCCAAACTTATTTCCTACTCCAGTGCACTGTGTTACTGCCTAATGCAATCATTTCTCCGTGTGTGATATCCCAAATATATTTGCATTAGTTAGCTGCTCATGAATATTACCCTCAGGATTATCAATGGCTTAAAATAGATTATGCTGTAAAGGGGAAAAATGTGCAAAACTGACTGATCCTACCTTCTAACAATTCAGAATAAATTCTAAGTGGGCACAATACAGAGCTGACACTCTACTGCCTGAAGCATTTTCACCTGACCAATTTGCTCTCATGCTTTCAAGTCAAAGCGCTTCACCTGGCTGCTTGGAGCTCCAAACAGAATTTCTGAGTTTCTAGACAATAACTTTACAAACTGAGATATTGTTGAGAGCTATTTCAGCCACCTGGTTACTTAATTATGTGTGCATTAATTCAGCACGTCCACACTGTATGACCGCAAATGCTTTCAGAACATTCCCCCAAATGAGAACGCCAGCACTTTCTATTTCAAAGAAAATTATTTTAAAAGCAAACTAAAGGATAGATGGAAAATAAATGACCACTTCTCTTCCCTTCCTCCACCTGTGTGGATGGAGCAACCTTGCCAAACATTGCCAGTGAGTGACAGTTCTTTTACTATTAATCCTTACATTTGATATCACACCTTTCATGTTGGGAGGATGGCTGAAAGCACTACACAAGATATACTATAAAATGTAATAACTGTATTTTGTAGCTGAACATGGTAGCCAATTTTCACATAGTGTAATGTCTCACAAACAGCTATGAAGTAAATGACCAATTTTATCTGGAAGATTATTGTCCAAGACACTGGGAGAAACTCTTCTCGTTTCAAATAGTGTACTGCTGTGAGTTCTTTAACATCCACCTGAGCAGGCAGACAGGACCTTGGTTTAACATCTTACTTGAAGCACCTTCAACAATGCAACATAATGCCAGCTCTGCACTGGAGTATCAGCCTAGACTATGAGTTGAAATTCCCGACATGCATCTTAAACCCATAACTCAAAGGTGAGAGTACTACCCTTCTGACTCAAAGGTGAGAGTACTACTACCTGAGCCAGGCTAACACACCTGGTTCAGGGAACCAGGGGCGATACCTAGGAAGCCATTGTGGCTGGTCAATCTATGCAAAGAATAGAGGGGAATATAGGTTAAAACAGAAAGATCCAAAGTCAAAAGTCAAAGTCAAAAGATGGGACCTGCCACTATTTTCCTGCATCACAGGTGGAGTCCTGTAGCTCAGTGGTTAGAGCACTCGCTTTGCAAGTGAGAGACCTGAGTTCAATTCCAGGCAGGGCAAAACCTTGGGCAAGTTTCCTTACTCCACACGCCTAATAATAATCCCTCCAAAACCAAAAACAATAATAAATTGGTCATTTTCAATCTACGACTGTTTGTGGGACATTGCTGTGCGCAATTGGCTGCCGCGTTCGCCCACAAATATAGAGTCAATTCACTTTACAGTGTGTTCTGTGAAGCGCTTTGGGACGTCCTCCCGACCTGAAAAGCGCGATATCAAATGCAAGGATTATTATTATTATCACAACATCTATTGCTTTACATTGTTAGACTATGTATCTTGCTGTAACACATGAGCATTCTTTACCGTTGCATTGTAGTGTGAAGTTTATGTGCACGGAAGGAAAATAGGTTATTCAGGGTGAACTGAAAAGATTCAGAGTGAACAAGAATTAATTCCACCCATCTGTCTGTCAAAACAGGAAATGTGCTCTCCTTTCACTTTAGAAGCATTACTGGGCAGCCTTTCATGCCAAATTTTTCATGGAAAGTCCTTGCCTTCAAATTCCTCAATCCAGAGCGTACCATCCAAACATAATTTGAAATCAAACCAAACTCTCATTCTATGTTTTTAAAGCAGTAATAGGCTTCATGGGAACTGGTCGGCTGAAGCATTGTACTAGTGTACTTTTCTTGTGCCTCTGGGACCTGGCTGGGAATATATGACTTCAGGTTGATGGAATTAAGGTCTCCTCACTCTAATTACTGTCTGATTCCTCTCAATCCAGCATCAGGTGACTTCAAGGTCTTGGGAAAAAAAAGCCCACAAGTTGTCAGTGTGCAGCCAGCCTCACACACTGAGGCCTCATGGAATAATAATAATCCTTGCATTTGATATAGCGCTTTTCACGTCGGGAGGACGTCCCAAAGCGCTTCACAGAACACACTGTAAAGTGAATTGACTGTATATTTGTGGGCGAACGCGGCAGCCAATTGCGTACAGCAATGTCCCACAAACAGTCGTAGATTGAAAATGGCCAATTTAATAATTGTTTTTGGTTTTGGAGGGATTATTATTAGGCTCTGTGTGGAGTAAGGAAACTTGCCCAAGGTTTCGCCCTGCCTGGAATTGAACTCAGGTCTCTCACTTGCAAAGTGAGTGCTCGAACCACTGAGCTACAGGACTCCACGTCCTGTGACATGGTAAGATGTACAGATGTTCTACTTATCTTTGAGGGAAGGCGTGGCTTTGGGATGGTTCCCTGAGTCTGATGTAGCTTGCAGTGGAGAGGATGATGTCTGTGAGAAACATAGTTTTTCAGCAACTACAAATGAGTACCTTCATGAGCTTTGTAGCATGGGTTCAAATGAATGCTATAAATTGAGAATGTTACAATGCAATGAATGGCAGAACGGAAATAAGGCAATCTGTGAAAAGGAAACCATATTAATAGGAAAACCTTCCCTTCAACCTCAAAATGAGAAGATATGAAAGAGGGAGATTATTTAAAAATACTTAATGGATTGCAAATAGGACAATTTTGTTTTGTTCTCTTTTTTTAATCTATTTTCCCAGTCAGAAAGTTGAAAGGGCATTAACCGAGATGTTAGGTTGGCAGATAACATTTCAAACTCTGCAAGTCTCGTCTCAAATGTGGCATTTCCACTGACTGCATTTTCAATTTTCTCACTGGAAGGAAAATAGATTAAAAAAAATCAAAAAAATGTAAGCGTTTGTGCTATCATGGGCAATTTTTCTGCAATGGTTTCAGTCTGTGTTATTCTTTTATTTTAGGAAATACTGAAACACAGGCAGGAATTTCTACTTTATAAAAGCTTAAAATTATGTAAAGTTAGACTCCAAAGAAAGGAATCCTGTACATTATTTCAACTTACACTATACAATATGTATTTTTCTTCACTCTTAAGAGCCGTTTACAATTTGGAGCTATTTGACACAAGTATCACATTGATACCAGTACCTTCCATGTCCCTCCATCCATATTACGGAAAATGTCATACTGGACATGGTGACAGATCATTATCTGCCCTGGAAATGACAGCACTGACACCGATCCTCCGGACGTCTAAATACATTTAAACACTTGTACTGAATACAATTAAGTAGTTCCAAATACAATTATTGTCATTCTTCCACACGTTTCAGTTGTCCGTCAATGCACTGTGTAAAAAAAACATTTGTGTAACGGGACTTTGTGGAGACCCTATACATTTACTCAATTGTTTTCTCATTTCAGAATATCCAGCCTAATCTGGAAGCATATTTTAGGCATTTTTTCAAAAAATTGTTTCTAGAATTTCAGAATGAATTTAAGAATTTTCCACAATTCTGCTTCCTCTTAAACTTCAAGACAAAATGGTCTTGTGGATTAAAACCAGGTAGAATTTTGAGTCCACTGAAAGTGGTTTGAATTGCCTTGTTTTGTGCCCAAATATTCAGTGGTTCTAGGAAAGAGTTATTAGCAAACCGTTCTCTGCGTTTGTAAAAATTTACATAATTTGAATAATTGGACTGAAGCATAGAGCACAAGGTGAACTGTAATAATGTCATAATTATGTAAATGTATTCGTCAAGTGGATTGCTATACATTTTCCAGGAGGGATAAGGGCCGTAAGGTTTGTGCATCCTGCAGTACATGACTTTGCAAAAGCTCAGCGCTCTTCATTTTTCCTCTTCTAGTTTCTTCTTTTTGCTCAGCCATATTCTTATCTATTTATGGGACAATGCTGTGAGTAAATTGGCTGTGGTTTTTGCATACAAAATACAGTCACCACACTACAGTAAATCCCGTGAAGCACTTTGACGTGAAAGTATGCTATTTCAAAGAAATGTGGAGCATTTCTCCAATACAACTTGATTTATATTTCCCACCTAACACAAATTGAGCCACAAATTAAAAATAATTGACTATTCATCTCATTGTTGTTCATTGAACGCTGCGGGCACAGATTAGCTGTCGCGTTTGCCTGTATAACAACATTTACTTTCATTGAATTTTGCAAAGGACTTGAAGGCATTTGCTTTTATGTGAATGGGCTATATAAATGCAAATTATCATTATTTCGTACTCCACCAACATTGTGACACAAAGCAAGACTACAAACACCGACCAAAGGAGAAAAATAATGGAAGTTCTTCTGCTTTTGT